AGATGCTCCAGTCCCTTTATCACCTTAGTTACCCTTCATTTCCAATAAACCAACAAGAAAAATGTTCTTTATGAGGCATTACATCTACACATTTTTATGTATCCAGGATCTATCGTTACACATCTGCAGCCACCCCAAGTAACAAAGCTGAAGGGAGTATATCCCATCTGGATCCTGCCTCATACCCTCTCCATCCTCAAAGACTTTGACATTCTACAAAGAATCACAGATTTATTCAGCTGCAGAAGAGAAAACTTTAGTATGACTACGAGAGGGTCACTGTTTCATATATTCCATTCTTCATTGTATCCTACATTAAATCTACATTGGATACAACAGAAAAAATATGGAAAAGCACTTTTTATTTTTTTTAATTGTGTCATGTTATTGATTCAAGGTGTGATGAATCCATGTCCCTGCATTGAGCAAGATAACTAGAATCATCAGTGGTACAAAAGGGTGTATCTGAGTTCCTTTATCATATCACGATCCTTGGTGAGTGCTCTAAATTTTTATAATTTTTACAATTATAGGGAATCCAAGCCAACATCATTAATGTCTCCTGCACTGTTTTAAAGTCGTGACACATCCCATGTGCAATTTTCATAGAAATGAATGAGTTCCCTAATTTTAGGAGGTGTTCCAGTTATCCACCTGCAGTTATCCACCTGTACCCCAGAAATAGTCAGAAATTAAGAGTCGGACCTTTCTTAACCATTTTTATTACTGTCCTGCATGGGTCCTTCCACAGCAAGAAGCTATTATAGATCTCACCTTCCACTTACTGCAGATACTTTTTGGTACATATTTTTGGATCTTATTCAAGAAGCCTGAGGAACTAGACTCCAGTTCTTTCTGTACCCTTCTAGTTTTTACAGAGCTTCTGAGGAGAAAATAAATTAATAAATTTTAAAAAAATCATAGACTAGGTGTGGGGCAATATAAGGGTACCATAATACAACAGGAAATAGACTGGAGTCAACAGGAGTCATCCAGGCAATCAATAATCCAGGATCAATAAAATCTAAACTAGTTCTGGTGTATTCATCTGTTAAACATTAATTGAAAAAAACATAGAAAACTACATGGCCCTAGTTATGCTGCCATGGAATCTCCAGCAGGGAAGAATTACGACCAATGCCTGAAATAATTCCTCCCTTTAACAAGTTGTTCTGGTTTTTTTTAATAAATACTTTATAAGTTGCTCTGACATACCAGCACTTACAGCTTTGAGGGGGGAGTCAATTAAAAGATTTCTTTCCACACTCCTTAAATCTGCAGGTCTTTTCAAACAGATTACACTTTAAATGTCTTTAAGATTAACAACAGATTGCAAACTCAAGTTCATTTAAGTACCTCTTAAAATGTTCTGAACCACTGGATTGTCACTTTTTTTACTGGGCTCAATTCATATATGAAAAGTTGAAATGACTGTTGAATGCTACCTTAATGATCTGAAGCAATAAACCCGAATGAAGTAAGTCATTGTTAGATTCACTACATTTGATGACAAATTGTACATTTGGGGGTCTTGACCTTACCCACTTGTAATGCAGGAATCCAAGAATATGTTCCATTTACCGGAATAAATTGCTGTAGTTGTCTTAGGTCTGCCTTACAAAAGTATTTTACAGACTTTATTTAATAATTTATAAGGTTTAAAATTTTCTTCCCTATTGAAGGAATGAAAGGATCTTTTTTAAAAAAAATTAGTTAGATTTCATATGACTCCATCAGTGCTTTCACTTGTCATGGCTCAGAGCGCACACAGCCACTGAGCTGGCTGAGGAAGGGCAGCTGCAGACTGCCTCAACCCTAGCTTGGCAGGTGACAGCAAATGACTACAGTAGACATTTTCAGTAAAAGGCTGCAGATGTCTCACCCCTTTACCTCATGACCAAACTGAAGCTCAGACATTCTCCCCAGACTAGTTTTTCCCCCATTCATAATTTGAGGTAAGAATAGTCTACTAAGGCTGAGGATAGTCTGGCAGCCCAACACTGTAAGAAACATTCCTTCTGCCATTAGAGTCTCTCCCTCTCTTTTTTTTTTTTTTTAATTATTATTATTTTTTTTATTTTAAACCCTCTTCCATGTATTCAAAACTGATCTTCAATTAGGACAGGAGATGTAGGCACAATGTTGTATTAGTATGCAGACTGAAGAACTGACACAAATGTAATGAAGTTTTCCTGCTTTTCTACTTACTGGTTCCTCTGTTTATCAAAAGATGGGAACATGCTTCTTGGGCCATGGAACAGCAATAAAAACTTATGGTCACTGGCTATGTACTGTGACTACCAAGTTCATCTGATAATCACTGACTGTCACAACAGAGAGGTGACATGCTCAGCGTGCATCATGCTTTGTTTCTAGCTGTGCTTTTACACTTAGGATACTTGCATATTTTGAGAGCTGAGTACTCAGGTTGTGTACTGACTATAGTGTCTGCATACTTTTCTTGGACTGGTGATTTTAATTTTATTGCTTCTACTGGATCATGGAAAAAGGGATAGAAATAAGAAGATCGTCTAAACATATCCCTTCTTCAGGGAATATTATCCATTCGCAAACAGTTTGGAGACATACTGGACAATTCTGAACACATGCTGTTTGCCATTTCTGAGTATGTACTGCCCTACTGTCTTTAAGAATCATTCAGTAACAAGTCAAACACCTTAAGTAACAGAAGTGTGCCATATTGATGGTTAGTTGATTTTAATCAACCAACTATGTAAATCTGCCCCCAAAGATACCAGACTGGTTCTGTTTTCTTTAAGATTCTTATAAATGGTCTTCTTTGTATTTAATTCCTTTAATTGCTAGTCAATTCCCTTATCAGTCACAAAATCACTTTATTTAGGGACCAATATCTTAAGATTTCTTTATTTTGGGAACCTTTATCTTGAACTTTGTAATTGCAATGACAGAACATAAGTGGAAACTTTGAAGCAGCTGGGCTCATCTGCCTTCAGTTCAAAGGCAAGAAAGATACTTGCCACATTACTATATATTAATGCCTTTTTCTTACATATTATGCAAAAGTAAGCATGTAATAAGCAAAATTCTTTTAACAATATGATCAAGTTTGCGAGGACAAAAGCAGTAACAGATCTGTTAAAGGAAGAGATACCGAAAAATATTTTCTCCATGAACAGTTTGCATTGGCAATGTTATTGGAACATCATAAAGTTTGGTTATTCTCTGCTTTAAAAGGCATTCTGCATAGAGATAGCTTGAAATAACATACAAACTGAGGATTTTCATTGTCGGAATTCAATATTCCTGCCTGTAATATTTTGTCCCCATTATATTAGATCATTCTGATCTTCAGAATCTGAGAAGAATGCAAAATAGCTAACTCTGGTTTCTCAGACTTACAGAGACTATCATTTACATAAAACCTCAAAAATTTCACTTGGGCTCAGTGTTTGCACAAAAGTCAATGTGCCTTAGACCACAGGAAAAGTACCTAAATCCTTACAACATCTTTTAATCATTCACCTCTTTAATAGTTTCTTCTGATAAATTTTCAAGCATTTTCCATTTCTTCTATCAGAGTTAAAATGAGTAAGGGTAAAATTAGCGCAATATTGAGCAGACAATGTAGTGGCAATTCCCATGATGCTCTAATATCTAAGTATCCTGTCACCATTTTGCCCATTTCAGAGGAATTGTATGCAACTATGAGATCCGTTAATGTTATATCCAGAATTTTAAAAACCTCACTGAGAGGATTTTTTCTTCCAAGTGGCCTCAGAGAGATAAATTAACAGGATGTATTGGTTAACCCAATTATAAAACATCACAGTCACTAGAACATTAAACAACTGAGTTATTCTGGAGACTCTGATAACATCTTTGTCCCTGTGCATATACTAGTCTAAGCTTTGCCTTGGTATCTTACAAATAAGCTGCATATCTAGAAATATGTCTTGCTTTACAGGTTTGGGGTTTTTTTCAGCTTAATTCTTCATAACCATAAGGAAAATCACATTTCCCTCTCCTTTTTTGTGACCTACATCTGTCAAAGAACTTCAGCCCTGTGATATTTATTTCTTCTGAAAACACAAAGATAGAATTGAAGTCATGCTATTGTCAGTTATGGAATGATCACTCTCAAACTTTACCAACTGGTGCTAACTTTTAAAAGTCATCAACATTTTTCAAAAGTTTCTTCTTAGTGATAGTTAAAAACAAGTTACAGCACCTCCTGCTCCCTTTCGTGTTTTTTTGTATTTAAAACTGCAGCCCCTTCACTGATCCCTGGCCTAACAACTATATAAAAGCAAACTTCTGCCTCCAACATAAAGGTATTTTGCATGTGACAAAGGCTTCCACCTGTGCATCTGAGAAATTTAAGAATGGTGTTTTACTTCTCTGGATGCAAATGCATTATAACAATTATTAACAATTCCAGCTATCCCTGACTTTTAATGAAGATACAGCACAGTGGTGTGCGTGCTAAGCAGAAAGAGGGATGCCCTTCTTCCCTGGGCAGTACCACTACCACGAGCCACATAACCATGCAGGAAAACACTTTGCTGCCAGAAACACTTGGTGCTGGCACCGGGCTGAGCCTCTGAGAGGGCCAAGCACTAGCACTGGCGGTGGGACAGCAATTTTTCCCATGGATATTCCCCATGGAGCAGGCAGGCTCGGAGGTGCATAGGCTCAAAAGTCATCTTTCTGCAACGACCTCGAGAACGGTGCAGGGGATCCAGCACCACGCTCCTACGGCATATTCTGCCCGTCGGCTCCATCTCGCTCTTCCTGCCTTCCTTAAGGGCTCAGGCCCTGACGTGACGGGTTGCAAAACTCCCCTGCACAAACACGCAAGAAGAGGCAGGAAGGGCAAAGTCCTGTGGCGTGGAAGCACAGATCCTTTTACTCTTCGTCCTCTTCGCCTGAAAAGGAGGAAACACGGAGAACACGGTGTCTAACGCAAACAAAAACACCGGACCTGTCCTGCCACCCCCGCGCTTCCGCCACGCCGCCGGCACTGCGCACGCCCGGCGCGGCCACCGTGCCCGCATGGAGGAGGAGGAGGAGGAGGATGGAGGCCAGGGAGCCGCGGGGGCTCCGGAGCGGTCCGGGCGTTTCGTGCGCTGCCTCTACGTGGTGGGATTCCTGGTGAGCGGGGAGTCGGCGGGAGGGCCGCGGTGCCTTCCCGCGCGGCCTGGGGCGGGCGGCCGGCCGCGGCCGGAGAAGGGAGTCCTTTCCGCTCCAGATAAAGGCTGCTGGGTTCGGGGGTACATCGCTGCAGCTGCTCCTCGAGGAGTTGGGATGCTTGTAGCGATAGTGGTGTGTAGCGGCTGTGCTGTTTTATCCGGGCGAACAGCCCTGCAGTTTGATACAGGGGTCGTATTTTTATCCTGTGCGTGCCATGGAATAGCGCAGCGCCTTTAAAGGTGAGTCTTGCCTTGTGCTTATAAGAGAGCTGGTCCCTGTGAAATACCCGTGGTTGACGTAAACTTATATTAAAAAAAATAAATAAGTAAACACTAAACATGGTTTTTTCTAGGGGAAAAATCTGAGAGAATATAGACTTTAAAGATGGATCATATTCTGTATTGATTCACTAGCCCCAGGAAAGTGCCATTTGAAATTAAAAGGGATTACCTGGAAAGTGAGTACGAATTTGCACTGTGAAACGTCAAGATACTGTCTTACCTACCCTTAGGTTGGGCAGTAGAAACAACCTAGTCAGTTTGTGTCCTGGACCAAATACTCCAGGTAAAGGTGTGTTAGAACAAGCTTTGCTTCTTAACTAACTTTTACACACTGTGGTTCTCCAGCCCTGTAATATCTTGCTGACACCGAGCCAGAGCACACACAGATGTCAGCAAAGTGTCCTTTTAGAGGTGTGGAGTGTCCTGATATAATATGGAGCTGTTGCTTGTAATGCAAGCTTCCTATAGCCAGACAAATAGAGGGTATCTGTCATTCAGCATAAGAAATTACACATGAAATGAGAAGTAACTACCCATAAGAGGATGGTGGTTAATGGGTCTTGCGCTACCTGCACACTTATGACAAGTCTAGTACTGCCAGGGTATATTCTGAGCCTTGTTCTTTTTAATGTCTCTATTAATAACCTGGATGAGGTCATTGAACCTCCTTCGGGTTTGCAGATGACACTTAAGACTGTGTTACTGCAGGTGTTTGGAAGTCATGTACTCTGTTAATAATGATTCTAACCTTGTAAGTCTCAATTTCAAGCATCAAAAGATAATTAATGACAGACTGTGAGAATTTAGGGATACACATTGTTACAGTTAATCAGGCTTTGGAGTAGTCCAGTTCAAGCAGTTGCTGATGAAAGGTGATCTTGCTCCGACAGATCTTCTCCAAGGGACACTAAATGCTGTGTCAGATTGTAGTAGTAGTGGAAGAACTACTACGTCACTGTGGTGAGCTTAACAAAAGGGAAAAAAGCAAAAGGAACGATCAGGAGATCCTTGTGCTGTTCAGGATGGGCAGTGTCTTTTTCCCTTCTCTTACAAAATGTTTTTCACAAATGCTTTTCTTTTTTTCTTTTTTTTTTTCATGTTTCTGTCTTTTCACTACATTTAAGCTATACACAAAGGTGTAAGTAGGTTTAGATCATAGCTTCTTCCCCATTGCAGTTTAGTTGAAATACTGTAGTTTTTCAAAATATACTTTCTTTGCACAAGTAAAAAGTATTTTTAGGTCATTGAAATTACAGACAACTTCGAATTTAAAATACTGGCTCCAAGTACTTTTCTTGTTAAATGGGTAAAGTTTAATATATATTAAAGAAATATTTAATGTTTAAATGTGTATCTTGAGAAGGATTGTATCTGGAGGGGGGGAGAGGACTGATGTTTTCATAAGTTTAACTCCTCCAAGAGGCAATCCTTTATCTTTCAGTTTATGTGTTTTGTAATTTTGTACATACTTGATGCACTGCAGAGGTTAAAACATACCATGTTGACCATGAAAAATTAATTTTCTTTTAACCTTGTGTTGATATGGAGATAATTTTTTTTTTGAATGTTGACTGTTATTAATCTAGGTTTCCATCATCTTTGTAGAAGTTATTAAAACTTTTTCTGCCTTCTTTTCAGGATTTATTTGGGGTGAGCATGGTTGTTCCTTTAATGAATCTTCATATCAAATCTCTAGGAGCAAGTCATACAGTGGCTGGAATAATAGGTGAGTTGTAGTACTTGACTGATTTACCAAAGAATAAGATAAGACCTGGATTATGCCTTACTGCAAGTTGGACATTGTAACGTAATTCTTCCTTGCTAATAGCACAATTCAAAGTAAGTAAGGACAATTTCCTAATAAAACTGTAAGGGCAGCCATACTGTGTTAGACCCATAGACCTGTCCAAACTTGCATACTGACAGTAGCCAAAAGCACACACATGGGAAAGAGTACACTTGGAAAGAACAAGGAAGGCTTGGAGTAACATTTGTACAGATGTTTTTCCAGCATCCAAGAATTCGCAGCTCAGCAATTTAGAGAGCTAGAGGTGTTGCTTCTAATTTTATTGTTATTTACAGACTCTGCAAACAGTACTTCTGTAGCTGGTTCTCCAAAGGTTTCCAAAGCCCACGATTGCTCCCATTTTGATTAAAATCCTTGCAGCTGTCTTGGCAAAATATTTATTCACTTTAAGGAGTTTTTACAAGTAAGTTCTGAAGATTAGGGGTTTTATCTTAACATATTAAGTCGTAAGGTAAGCTCTGTGGGTTTAAAGTTCTTTAAAGTACATTTTATGGTACTGTTTATGATTTGGAGTGATACAAGTATGATATTCTTTATAGCTATGTGTGGTTGACATGGGCTCTGTTATTCAGTTTTTTATTGTATTGCTTTTCTATTTTAGCACTTTTCATGAAATAATTCTGGTTCTACACTGACTTGACAGTATTATTTTAAGCAACAATTAGTTAGAAATATGTCTTCATTTCAGCAGTTTGCTTTGATTTTGAACTTTAAAAAAGACTGGGATTTGAGATGTATTCCTATAAATAAGAGAGTCTGGCAGATATTTCTCTCTGCTTCCCTTCGTTCATTCTCTTCTGTCTCTAAGTGCTGATAAATTCCTAGCCTCCAAAATTACAAAGTACAGTCTGTGGTTTCTTCAAGGTATCTGTGGCACCTTGCAGTAGGTTGAAGTGCCAAGTGGAAAATAATTAGTCCCTCCCAGTAATGAAATTCTCTCCCAGTTCTGAGAAAGCAACCATAAATGCATGTATCTGTTTTATTTGTTACACTATACAAAGCAACATCATTCTACCTTACATAGTTTTACAAGTTTTCAGCACTTTTGTTTTGTCATTCCTGAAACACTACCTTTGGTTTGTCATGCTCCCTCTTCCCAGTCTTCCAGTAAATTATTCCCAGAATTTCTCTCATTTTTTATCATTTAAAATTTTGTGTATTTTTCATTTAAAAAAAAGTTTAATTTTTAATACTGGTATTTTGTTTGTTTTAGGATCTCTCTATGGTGTAATGCAACTGTTTTCCAGCACGTTTGTGGTGAGTTCTAACACTACATTCCAGAGCATGTTGGTATTTCTATGGATTGTAGGGGGGGAGAAAGGATGAGGCTAATAATGGTGTTTCTTGGCATTTTGAAAAGGCATAAAGTGCTCTTATAAGCATTTTTGGTTTGAGGAACCAGGTTTTAGTTTGTGTGAAAAATGTTTGTTTCATTTATAGTGAATTGCCAGATTTTTCAAACTCAAACGGAATACAGTTTTTAGACAAAAATTAGAATACAGATTTAGGCTCAGATACGTTACTGAGCACGTCACAGTCACACAGGGTTTCCTTCAGCATTGGTGCTGCTAAAGCAGTTGCCTTCAGTGCAATAACCTATCCAAAAACAGTCTCGTGAGTCAGCCCTTCATAAGCCTGTTATCTACTTCACTTTCCATGCCTAGTGAGCAGTACCTTGTAATTCAACATACGATCTAAATTAATGCATTGTATCTTTGGTCTTTGTTTGGTTTTGTTTTCTATTAGCTATTGGTTTTTTACATCCTAAGATTACCCTGGTACTAGTTTTCTAGCTTTCAAGGGAGCAGATTTCGAACATCTCATGAAAAAACTGTTTCAGGTTTGTTACCCAGGCCATCTGGGATAATTTGCCAACCTTGTTGCATTTTCTTTGAACTGCAAGACCATTGTCTACTTTCTTAAAAAACTATTTCCTTTTTGGAATCATGCTGATTTATAAGCATGCTAAATGCAAGTTTTCTGTTTACCCTTCTCATAACTACTTCTTACCTACGCACTCAGATGACAAACTTCTCATATCTAGGATCATTCCTTTTAGGATGTTCAACAGGTGTCTAGTACACATCAACCATCAATGCAAACAAATATTTGTGGTTGTTTATGATAAGATTTTCAGAAGACCCCTACTGCTAATATGTATTGCAGAACTATTTTTAAAAGGGAGAAATTGTTTTTTAAAAAGCTGTATACACACATAGCATTAAGTGGAATCATAGTTTTGACAGGTGCACTGCCAACAGGGCAGAACTCTGCTGGGGACTTCCAGATTTTGAGCACTTACGAATGTTGTGCAATAAGCTTATTCAGCTTTCATTGACAGTCCTTTGATCTCTTTTCTCAGTTTAATTTAGAAGTACTGATTGTTCACTGTACATAGCTTAGTGTTATAAAAAGCTAATCTTTCTTTCTGCTTTGTAAAAGGGCTGCTGGAGTGATATAGTAGGAAGACAGTATTCCTTACTTACTTGTATTCTTCTCAGTGCACTGGGTTACTTCCTTCTTGGAACATCCACCACTGTGTTGCTGTTTGCCATTTCTAGAGTTGCTGTAGGTGAGTAAACACTTGGTATTTTGCAGTTTAAATTCCCTGTAGTCTTAGCTTGAGAGTTACTACAGGAAAAATCATGATATGTAGGTGGCTACATCATCACCCAGCAGCACCAACTGAACCTTAGTAATGGAAAAATCTCTACAAATCAAGAATTTTCATTACTTTTTCTTGAAAATAATTTGAAATGTTGTTGTGACCTAACCCACCAGGCAACTAAACTCCACAAAGCCACTTACTCATTCCCCTTCCCACAGCAGGATGTGGGAGACAATTGGAATTTAAGAAAGTAAAATTCATGGGTGGAATTAAAGACAGTTTAATGGGTCAGAAAAGGAAAGAAATAGTAATAATAAAAAAGAATTAGAATATACAAAGCAAGTGATGCACAATCAGTTTCCCACCATTTGCTGACCAGTGCTGAGGCTGTTTCTAAACAACGGACCCCACAAATTTGTATGCTGAGCACATCACCATATGATGTGGAATCTCCCTTTGGCCATCTGGGGTCAGCTGTCCTGGCTCTGTCCCCTCCCACCTTCTTGTGCACCCCAGCATACACACTGGTGGGATGGAGTGAGGGGCAGAAGAGTCCTTGACTTAAGCTAAGCACTGCTCAGCAACAACTGAAACACCATTGTGTTATCAACATTATTCTCATCCTACATCCAAGAAGAAAATTAACTCTATCCAGATGAAACCAGGATAAATGTATACTCAACAACTGTCACAACTTTTATGCTGCCTTGAATGACTGAAATTTATGAGAACAGGAGTGCAGCAATATCTTGAAAGAGGCTATTGTAAAATTAGTCATAGCAGGTACACAATATACCAGGTGACTGCTGAAAATCTTGGCCTGCAATTGCGATGGAGAATGGAATGATATGTGTGTTGGGGTTTTTTAATGGTGAAAATACACCTCAAAGTGATACTAGAAAATTCGGCTGAAGTTGTAGGTCATTGCTTCAACCAAACATTTATGTTGTATAAAAGCATGTATGTTTGCAGCACAGAAGTGAAGTTTGTGCCAGGGTTTGTAGCAGAGTTCTTAAAATAGCTGACCACCTACTGGATATATTCTGATACAATAAGCAGTGCTGTTACTAAAGGGCACTTTTATGGACCATAGTTTTAATTTAGGAACTCCTAATATTGTTTATTACTTTAAAGACAACTTGCTAATGAATTGATTGGTTGAAATTTGATTAGCTGAGTAGTAGATGTAGTACTTTTTAAGCCTGACATCACAGTGACTGTGACAGCATTACCATGGTCAGAGGGAAGCCACATAAAAGATTGCATTATTAATATTCTTGCAGTGTGCCTAACCTTCTGTGCTCTTCTTTTGCCACCCACCAGTTTCCCATATGAACTTGGTGTGTTACAATCTTGGCACTCTTCATATTCAGCCAAGTTGGTACAGAGTTATGTCCATAAACAGACAAGCCATTTCTACTCCATCGAAGTTCCTGTTTTAGCAGCTATTTTATTCCTAGAGTGCTTCTGCACATGACTTAGTTACTTCTTTCATCAGGGCTGCAGGAGCACTCTTTGACACCGATGCCTGAATAATTTTGATTCCTAAGTCCAAATCCTTAAACAGTCAGGATTATGGTCATAGCCCAGTGTGCTGCATGGCTCTAGCATTGAAGAATTTGTGATTAATGGATCTTAAAAATATAAATCGTACAGATTTTGCTTATTGATATTTCTGATAGCTTCTGTCGTCTTTAATCTTTTGAACAATACATGTTTGTTATTTTGTTTATGTTGTGTTGCAGGTATTTTCAAACACACACTGTCTATCTCTAAAGCACTGCTTTCTGACTTGGTTTCGGAGAGAGACCGCCCTTTGGTAATGGGACGCTTCAATGCAGCCTCTAGTGTGGGCTTCATTCTGGGGCCTGTGGTTGGTGGCTACCTTGCAGAGTTGGAAGGTGGCTTTTATCAAACATCCTTCATCTGTGCCTCTATCTTCCTTCTGAATGGTGGTAAGTTATATGTCACATTTTGCATGTTGGGTCCCTTCATTCAGTATTTTCATGTTTTATGCCATCTGTAATACCTTGAATTCATAGCGTATTTATCATCTATGGCATAAATGTTCTGTATACCGATACTACTCTTTGAATTTGAACCTGAGTGGAAGGAATTTGGGGAATTTTGAAACAGTTAACCTCTAGGTGCTTCTCCTTTGTTTTGCATATAGCCCCTTTACATTCAGACACAAAGAGGAACTTTTGATGTGCCTAAAGATCAAGACTAGAACTCAAAATTTTTGCTTTAGTCTTTAGATTTGTTCATATGGTATGAGTGTGGCATTTCATTGTTTCCTTTGTTGCTTTCATTGCATTAAAAATTGAACTGATACTGTGAATAACACTAGCCTTAATGATTACAATTTTTTAAGTGAAATTATTGTTGAAGTCCTTTTTTGAATTGTTACAGTCAAATTAATGTCTTTTATGTAAAGTTGATGCATTTGAATGAAATAAAATGATTTCTTGATGTACATAGGTCTTGTCTGGATGTTACCTTGGAATGAAGAAAACACTGGCAACCGGGAACATCATCAAGACAAAGGAACAAATAGTTTCACAGCAAAAGCAAATCATGACCTGCACTTCAAATCAGCAGCTAATACAGCTGTGACAAACAACAATGTTTTCCAGTCTCCGTGGATCCAAGTTGCAACAGTGTTGAAGAAGATTAAAGAGATTGCATGCTCTAACTTGTGGGATATATTTTTAGTGCGATTTCTGATGTCTGTCACTATACTGCTGTACTATAGCAATTTCACTCTGGCCTTGGAGGAGAGATTTGGAGTGAAACCACTGTTCTCTGGATACTTAACAAGCTATAGCAGTGCACTTGGAGTCCTGGCTGGTTGTCTGCTCGGACCAATAACAAGGCTCTATCAGCATAACACTTACAGAGTTCTGTTGCACTCCAGTACTTTCACCTGTATGCTGATTCTCCTGTATGCATCAGCATTGAACATATGGATGGTCATTTTGTCTTCCACATTCTTAGCCTTTTCAACTACTATAGGTCGTACTTGTATCATTGATCTTGAATTGACCATTGGTGGGAATGAGGCCAGTGGCACACTTCTAGGTGTTGGACAGTCTGTGACATCAGTGGGACGTATAATTGCCCCACTCCTTTCTGGAATTGCGCAGGAGTTCAGTCCTTGTGGCCCTCCAAGTCTAGCTGTTGGACTAGCTTTAGTAGCTATTCTGATAATGAATGCAAACAAACAAAAATACTGTAGTCATGGAAATGTGAAGTTAAAAAATCAGTAGGCACAATTTTGGATTGCATAGATGTGTCTTCACCTGCCAGGCTTGTAGAGTGGTTACATGATCTTTTAAGAGGGCACATTGTGTTCATGTGGAGGCAAGTATTTCTGCTGCAGGGTGCTGACCTACAGGGAAGCCGTACAACAGGTTTGTAAAAACAAAGGAGGACAATGCTGGTTTTCTGTTAACTCTAGATAAATGTTATTCTAACTGGTACCACTAGAAACATTTGTAAGGGGACCAATGTTGCTATATTGCACTGCCTGTGATTTTTTTTTTAAATGGATTTTTAACCCTTTTTGAGGGGGAAAAAAGAATATCATGAAATGCACGATTCCTGCTTGTAGCTCATATTTTAAACAGTGTTTAGATTGAGAGACTGTTAAAATACAAAAATTGATTCTTATTATTTAATCAAAGGTGGATATTTGTTATTTAATCAGAAGGAGAATTTGCAATATGCTTGTTGGCCTTAATTTCTTATGCTGTGGTCAATTGCCATTTGTCTTCTGTGACAGTAGCTCAGTTAATAAGGTGTTTGCTTATGTGTTTTTTTTGAAGCATACTTTGTCTACAAAACTTGCTGCACACCATGATCAGGTACTTTGGGATAGTCATCCAACCCCTGCTGATTCCTAGTCTTTCCCAGGTAACAGAACTGGGTATATGCTAACTTTGTGTATTAGAAGACCTAAAGTGGACAATTTTAAAATGATACAAGCCGATTCAGACTGAAACTGAGGCTGAATGTAAGTTTTATTGAAATTTGAACTGGAGCACTTCTACTGCTCAATTTTGTCATAAATATTTGTTATTATTTCCTGTACAGTTTTTCAACCTTCAATTTAAGAATAAATTTCCCTCTTAATTCTTTTGAATGACTGTAAAGATGTGCTGGAGGAACTAGCAGTAGTTCATGGTTCTTGAATAATGCTTCCTCTCTCATCTCAGGGATAAGTGACATTTCAGTGACGAGAGAAAAATTTTTGTTTGTATTTTAGTCATTGTTTGAGTGCATGGCTTAATTAATGAGAGGTTACTCTCAGAGCTATACTGGAAGTTGTAGCAGTCCTGTGCTATTTACTGTTCAAGCTCATATTACTTGCCACTCACCAGTGTTTGTATTTCATTTGAAACATAGGAAAAATGTATTTTTCACTGATAAGGTTCCATATGCTCTTCGTAATAATACTTAAAGAAAGTACAAAGTCAGCTATATGTAATTGTTGGGTTGAGGGAGGATTTGTTGAAAAACAATTTAGTTATCTTCTTGAACACATCTGTACAAACACTGTTGCTGCTTCAGGTGAGTCATAGATGGTGTTTTGCATTTTTTATTTTCATTCTCTTCTTTACCTTTTCAAGTGCCTGCTAGTGTTCAGATATTTGTTGAAATATTCCAGTAGCAGCACCATGGGAATATATATATATATATATGTACATACATATATATATATATATATATAAAACTGAATTGTTTTACATATTGACATAATCAGTGTCTTATTAGTGCTATGATTTCAGTACATATCCTCAGAGTTCTTTATTACAATAATCTTCTCCCGAGGAACTTGAGGCATTTTCAAGTGTCTTATCTTTTCTTCCCTTGTTTGGTAGATGCCCCAAAACATTGTTGCCCTAATTTTCCTGTTTTCTTTCTTTTCATTTTTTTTTTCTTTACCTAAAACTTTTCAGGGACTTCTGTTTTTCATCTCTAGCAAGGGGTAAAGGAAAAGAGTAGGAAAAAAGCTTCAAAAATTATTATATATGAATGATTTAGTAATTTTTCCAATACTTGTTGGTTATGTGAGGTAACATTTACCTTTCTAAGGTGGTGCACTGAATAAGTCTGACTTCTGTAAACACTTATACTAACACATACAGCTGCCTGAATATTTTTTACAAAATCTTTACAACTTCACTGGTTTATACATAAGTGAAAAATGTGCTTTCCCCTGTAAGCAAATATTTTTGTTTTATTTTGAAAAATGGTGCTCCATATAAGCTAAATAAAAATGAAATTAAATACTAAAATTGAGAAATTTACAAAAGCCTGTGGTCTTGGGGGCATGTTGCAATACATGTTACAGAAGATAAGTTTTTAGCTTGTAGGCCAGAATGATTTCTGAGGTGCCACAGAAACACACCTTCTTTATACAGCCCCAGGATCAGAAAAGTTTCACTAATTTTTTTTTTTTTAAGGATTAGAAATGAAGTGACATTCCACATGCATCATTTTGTCATTGTGCTTTTTCCCTTCTTCCTCTGCTAAAACTACAGCACAATACAGAACTGTTCAACTCAATATGAAGTACAGATTTTTTTTTTCTTCAAACCGTGATTCATATGATCATTTGAATCTGCCTACATTTCACATAAAAAGCACAGTAACCAAGGATTCAACCAAGAAGAACTTAGCAATTTTGGGATGAAGTGCTTAAAGTTACTGTTCCTAGTGCCTGGAGACCACATTCGTGTCCCTTGTGTTGCCTCTTAGTTGCCATAACTGTGTGAGTTCAAAGAATGATGACTCAGTGATGTTCCCAGAGATGAGATGTGATTCCCCCTTTCAAGTTGAGGGAGGAGCAGCTGCAGCTATTTTTGGCTACAGTCTAGTGGGCAAACTACTGAATTACTAAGCAGTTTCTTGAATCCAGTTGTCCTATCTGAAGACTGTAACAAAAGAGATCTGAACATGGACTAAAGGAAAAGAGTTTCTACCAGCAAATCACTGCAAATTAAGATTTTTCTCTTACTTGCTGTTACTTTATTTTGGCTTGGTTTCCTTGGGCATGTAGGAAGGGTAGGGGCATGATTTGGTTTTGGTTGTTTGGGGGGGTTTTTGCTTTTTGCTTTTCAAAATTTTCACTTTGGTAAAAGTGACTTTTCTGACAGTTTTGATTAGGCCATGTTGAAGACACTACATATGTAGGATAGTAATTTATATCTGTAAAACAGCTGGTAGCATATGATATGCACTGATCTTGTTGCTTTTAAATGATGAAGCAAATGTAAGATTTTTTTCATGCTGGTGTAGGCTGTATACATTTGAAGAGATCCTTTATAAACATACCAGTTGTGGTGGGTTGACCCTGGCTGGACACTAGGTACCCACCAAAGGCAGTGCATCACTCCCCTCCACAACTGGACAGGGGAGAGAAAATATAACAAAAGGCTCGTGAGTTTAGATAAGGACAGGGAGAGATCACAAACTGATTACTGTCATGAGCAAAACAGACTTGACTTGGGGAAATTAATTAAATTTATTATCAATCAAATCAGAGCAGGATAATGAGAAGTAAATCTTAAAAAACACCTTCTCCACACACACACACACTCCCCTCTGTTCTTCCTGCACTCTACCTCCTCCCCTGCCACAGTGCAGGGAGCTGGGCAAGAGGGGGTTACAGTCAGTTCATCACGTTTCTGCTGCTGCTTCTTCCTCCAGGAGAGGAGTCCTTCCCTTGATCCAGCATGGGGTCCCTCCCACGGGAGACAGTCATCCACAGGCTCTTCCAACGTGAGTCCTTCCCACAGACTACAGCACCTGAATTGCTCCAGCGTGGGTCCATTCCACATGGTGCAGTCCTTCAGGAAAAGGCTGCTCCAGCATGGGTTCTTCACAGGGTCAGAAGTACTATCAGTAAACCTATTCAAGCATGGGCTCCTCTCTCTGTGGGTCCACAGGTCCCTGGAGCCCTCTCCAGTGCAGGTTTCTCACAGGGTCATAGCCTTCTTTTGAGCATCCACGTGCTCCAGCATAGGGCTCCTTCACAGGCTGCAGGTGGATATCTGCTCACCTGTGGACCTCCATGGGCTGCAGGGGGACACCTGCTTCACCATGGTCTTCACCATGGGCTGCAGGGGAATCTCAGCTCCGGTGCCTGCAGCCCCTCTTCCCTCTCCTTCTTCACTGACCTCGAGGTCTGCAGAATGGTTTCACATATTCTCACTCCTCTCTGGCCACAATTACTTCTGCACAATAACCTTTTTTTTTTGTCTGTCTTAAATGTGTTATGCCAGAGTCCTTACTATCATCACTGATTGATGGCCTTGGCCAGCAGCGAGTCCATCTTGGACCCAGCTGGCATTGGCTCTGTTGGACATAGGGGAAGCTTCTGGCAGCTTCTCAGAGAAGCACATTTATAGCCACCCTGGTACTAGAACCTTGCAATGCAAACCCAATACACCAATTCTGCAGAATTCTTGTCTAGTTTTCTTGTCTAGTTTTCTTTCCTCTAAATTTACTCAACACAGCACCATCACAAGGGTCACTACCATTCTCATTTTCTGAGAACGGGTTGATTATTGAGCAGGTACCGCAGCAACAAAACAGGACAAGGGTTGCTTATGAACTGGCATGCTTGTTACTTCAACCACTCTGTAGTGCCATCACATCCCTGCTGATGTGGATGTGGGTATGTGGAGGTGCTGCCAGTCCCCATTTGGTTACGGGTGTTGTGGGATACTGTGAAGTAAATGATCCTTTATAGCTTGTCGATTTGGCGTTTGAAAACCCAAGACTTGCCAGTGCTGTTATTGCTGTAATACTGAAGATTCATTCACAAAGAGCTGATCATGAATCTTGTAAGGGAGTATATTGGAGCCAAAACTTTAAGAATCAAATGATTGTGAGTGGAGGTCAGAGTGCTTTTAAAAATGAAAGAGTGTAGAGCTTGCTTTAAAGGGAAGTCCTGAAAAATTTGTGTGTTAACTTACAAAGAGAAATTAATCCAAAGTTCTAATTATTTTAAATCTCAGCATCAAAGAACTTTTTTCTGAAATGTGCTTCACAAATGTGTAATAGATGAAAAATAAATTAAGTAAACTGGAGTATTTAAAATTACTTTTCTTTTTTGTGGCAAAAAAAATTACTTTTTGAAACAAAACCTGTGGCAATAAGGGTGCTGTTGTAACAAATGACAAATTTAAACCTGAGCACATGAACCACTGAAGGTCACCAGAGCAGCCATCTAACTACTGCCTTCCCTTCTGCAATTTTTGTCCCCCATATTCTGCCACGTCTCACAGGATGAAAAGTTTTCCAAAGCATGTCAGTGCTGTGTGGGAGCCATATCAGGGTTTGCCATCTTGGGAAAGGAATAATGCTAAACCAATCTCCCCCTGTTTAATAAATTGTCTGGCCATCTAACAGACAGACCAGGAGGGAGATGAAACTCTTTGACTTGGAAAGTTTTAGGAGAGTCTTCATAGCCATTCATACAACAGACAATGTCAAGCACAGCTGCAGGTTTATCTTGAAAGTGTAAGTTATATCATGATCTGCTGAAAAAAGGGCTAAAAAAAGGACTGTTAGTCTTTCTACTAATCTGGATTTAAAAAGCACCTCAATCGGGTAGACCATGATTTTTCTCTATACTGTGTCCTAAAGTGGTTCCTCCTTCTCATGCTTGGACTTGATACCTCCTCCTCCATGTTTTCTGGCCTGGACCTCTGATCTATTGTTTGCATGGCTGGGACTGTGTATTGCAGATGTCATGTTTTATGCATATTTACAATATGCATAAGGATATTTTTATAGGATCAGAGCTCTTGTAGTACAAAAAGCATTGCTCCAGCTAATTTCACAATCCTTCACCTTTTCTTCAGAGGCTGGGAAATGTTGGCAGAACTTGGAGAATTTTGGAAATGGCACATTTCTTGCAGCATCAGCTGATGTCTGGAACTGGTGGACTTGGCAACTCTTCAGAAAGTTGGTGGAGGGTGAAGTGTATTTGCTCCCAGAGAGCCCAAGATACTCTTCACAACAACAGGCATATTATTTTGGTAATTTTTTTAACTATGTTTTTCCATGTGATTTCTGTGTGGCATTAGTGGAGAAGGATATTCTAAAGTTTCTAAATTGTTAGGCAGCACAGTTTTCTTTTGATGAACTGGTTTCAGTGAAGTTTGCATTATACTTTAGTACCAAGTAGGACAGCCCTTAAAATTTTGCCTTTCATGGCAAAATATTGTTTTTTCTTTAATAAATCTACCTAAAACAGATAACTGGATGTCTATCTACTCTAGCCCTTGCTATACCTACTTTCTGATCTATTTACTTTCAATTTATAGGCCTCTCAGCAGCTGAAGGGGGAAAGAAATTCTCAGAAAACCCTAATTCAGAGTGAAACATATATATTTTCCCTAAAACTGTAAAACTGAACTTGCTTCATCGAAAACACACTAAAATATTTATACTACAGAGTGTACTGGGTAGTCCATCTGGAAACAAAACATTCGTATGTGGCTTTGGCATGTTTCCCCATCACTGCTGAAGATGTGGTTTCCTGAAAAAGGTAGAAACGTCCCCAGTCAATACATGACTTTCCCCATCAGATGGTGCTCGAGGACAGATTTATTGGGCACTTCATCTCCAGCAGACAAACTCTCATTGACACAAGATGAAGGAAGTGTCTCCTCTGCAAGTTCAAAAAGTGCTATCTAACTTGTTTTGATTCTGCAGGAAAAAAAAAAAAAAAGATATAAAAGGTAAACCTCTGACCCAAACCAGAGCAAGAGTTGAATGAGAAGGGTTACCTGTGACACTGACTGTGTCACCTGCTGCTGTCATTGCTACTGAATAAGAGAACACCCAGGAAATCAGTTTCCAGAGATGACAAGGGTCTCATTCAGCAGTAGCGGAACAGAGCCTGAAAAGGGTGGGAGGAGCAGGAGTGAGGAAGGCAGAGAGTACTTGCAAGGACACAGCGTCCCAGGAGATTTGCATTTCTGCTTCACAGTGTAACCATGCTGGAGATGTGCCTTGATGCTTGTATTCTGTGGATTCTAAAAGGATTTGGAAAGGTAACAACATGCTATGATGTTTTGAAGCACCAAGAGTTTAAGACTATATTTCGTAAAAACAACCTTCAATTTGATGTGCTTGTACTATGGGGCAACCATTTTAAGTACCAAGATCTGAGCACGCACGGCACTAATGGGCAACCAGCATAGCAGTAAGGTTCCTGAAACCTGCATTCATTATTTAAAATTGTGCCATAAAAAATAACGACCATTTGAAAAAAAATAAAAGGCAGCTTTCCCCAGATAGAAGCCAAATGCTTGGTCATTACCAGCACATGGATGAGAAAACTCCACAGAGAGTAAACTACATGTCTATGTGCAACATTTCACATTTATTTATTTTGTCAGATTTCAGATGGGCCTGATATAAAACACCTAATATAAGCATTCTGATCTGCGAGGAGGATGTCTCAAAACTGAAATCCAAACTCGAGGCTTTTTGCTTACTTAAACATGATCCCAATAATGCAGTGACAGACCATTCACTGACAATTTTAC